TGTATTTATATATACATAATAAATATACACAGTATACACACATACTGTATGTTAATTAAACAAAAACTTTTATTTTGGATGCGATTAATAGCGATTAATCGTTTGACAGCACTAATTAAAACTATATTCACTGAATGTAATAAAAAAAACAAATCAAGAATCGAACCAAGAATCGAATCGAGAGCTTGCGAATCGAAATCGAATCGGGACATCTGAATGGATACCCAGCCCTAGTAATAATGCTCACCTGTCTTACACTCCTGACACAGTTGTTCTCCATCTGTTCCACTGTTAGATCCAATACACTCTGGATGAAACAGCCTGTTACAGTCTCCCTCACAGCTCACCAAATAATCCCCGAATGTTTCACAGACCTAAGAGATTTACAAAAGAACCACAACAACAGATTGATACACAACAACAATACCTGAAAGTGTCAGACAAAATTAGAACTACTGTTACAGGGTTTCTGCAGAATTTTTAAGCTCAAATTTAAGACTTTTTAAGACCTTTTTTTAAGACCTGTACAAATAAAATTAATACCATATGAGCGGGGTAGGGCAATGTAGTACCATATTAAACCGTAAAATTACTGTAAAAAGCATAATTTACAGTTCAGATACAAGTTTCACAAAAACGTTTTATAAAATGATAAACTTCACATTTAAGCTTTTAAACCATTGTTAAGTAAATGGATGAGTCAAAAGTATTAATTATTATATTTAAACAATTATCAATAAATGATTGTATCAGTTAAATAACAAATTAGGGGTGTGTGATATTGACAAAAAATTATATCTAGATAATATTCTGGGATTTTATCGATAACGGTAATTTGACTATATTTTGCTATAGTGTGTGTTACTGCGCTGATATCTTAAGGACTACTGTGGACAGCTGACTCCTGAATTTTTTTATATTCTTCATATTCTGTGTGGTCAGTTCACAGCAGTAATATAAATTAATAATTTCCAACAAGTTTTATGGGCATTTTTACCTTTAAGCCATTTTTTCTAAAAGTGTGCACCATCTTTTGAGTAAAATTCTTGCATTTGGGTTGTTACCAAGCAAATTAAATCAGTATCAACAAAATTTATTTTTGCAATGCAGAGGAAACACAGAAGCTGCATTAGAAGTGGCATTTAGATGTATTTACACACGGTTTAATGCAGCTTTGAGGGACATTAAATACTTTAAACTGCAATTACAAATGCATAATGTTTTGATATTTTAAACATAAAACATTGAAAACTGATGTTTGAAATTATTTAAAAAATGAAAATGTACCTTAAATGTGAAATTAAAACCACCAGTAGGTGGTAGCAAGTTACTGTTAATAAGTGAGTCATTGCGATTGAACCGAATCATTTAAACAGGCGATTCATTCATGAACGAAACCCTGTTGTGTTGCTCAGAGACACAAAACAGTGCTGTGGCTGTGTTTGAAGTGATTTTTGTTGGAGAAATAGAGCAAAAGCAGGAAATATGGTGTCCAAAACGCAAGTCTCTTAATATTAACTTCCTGTTTATTGAACTGTTGAACAAACAACAGTTTTATTGAAAATGTTCATTCATTCTTTGCCAGCAGGTGGAGCGTTTGGTAGAAATATAACGGTTTCCCCGGTAACAGCAGAACACAAAGCAGCGCAGCACCGGACTTTGAAAGTGCCGCGCTTGTGTTTATTCAATGAAATCATAACGGTAGCCTTTTGAAGTTTAATCGTCACATTCAGCCATATCGCAAATCTGGTCTTTCCGTCCCCAAATTTAAGACCTCTTGAAATCAAAATTAAGACTTTCTTGTACAATTTAAAACTTTTTAAGGCCTTAAATTTGATACAACTAAATTTAAGACTTTAAGACCCCGTGGAAACCCTGTGTTACTGTGAATGCTGATCTGCTGTAACCTCAAAAATAATCCTTTTATTTAAGCAAAGACAACAATACATTTATCAGAGACAATATAGACTTTTACATTGTGTCAAATATAATTCCATTTTAAATAAATGCTGTTCTTTTGAACTTTCTATTTGTCAAAAAATCTTGGCTTCCACAAAAATATTAATCAACAAGTGTTTTCAACACTGATAATTATAAGAAATGCTACTTTAGCATCAAATAAGCGGACTAAACTAATGGCTGCTGAAAATTCAGCTTTGCCAGCACAGGAATAAATGACATTTTGAAATATATTCACATAGTTATTTTAAATTTTAATACTATTTTAAAATATTACTGATTTTACTGTGTGTTTATCAAAACTTTTGAACAGTAGTGTATCTAATGTTATTACATATAATGTTATATAAGCCCAGTGTTTATAGAGCTTACATGGCAGACTGTGTCCTTTTTTGAGGAACTTCCTCCTTGACGCGACAGGCTGGAGTCCACGGACTGCGCATCAGATCCGTCAGCATCTACTGTAGCAGGACTGTCCGAGCGCTTCCCGAATCCAGTCTGCAAGGGATGCAAATGAATGCAAAAATCTGACTTTACAAGCAGAGTCCATTTGGCTACAAAACCTGATAGGCATTTTAAATGAACAAATCTGTCATAACAATTGCGTAACCCAATGAGGAGTGTATGGCTAAGGCGTCGATCAAAAAATCCTGCTGGCACTCTGGCTGTATTTTTGAGTGTAGTCTGACCTGTGGATCATTGAGGCCTCTGGAGTCAGAGTCGGAAGTGTCTCTGTACAGTGAGCTGGCCATCTCCACATCAGTAGATGCTCTGCTGCGTTTCTTCAGTGGTTTACACGAGTCTGAGATCTCACTGGCACCTACAGGATTCGAGTAGCATTAACAGGGAGATACTGATCCATAAATTAATTTATGGGCTTATTAATCATTTAAAACATAACCCAAAATATTACATCTAAGAAAACCTTTTAAATAAATGTAAAATTCATCTTGAAGTGTGTCAAGCACCTTTTTGCGACCCCGTTTTGAAATCCATTTGAGGCGCTGCTTCAGCCTGTGAGGAAACAAAAACAAAACAACAACAACAACAACAAAAAAAAAACCCAGAAAAAAAGGCAATTTTATAAGATGTTTCCTTATTATTTGACACCTTTGCATAACTTACTCAGACATTCATAAAGACTTGTGTGATTCACTTTAAATATACTGCATTACGGTGTTATTTTAGTATCATTGAGATGCTATTATAATGTTTATTATTTTGAATTGGCTTTAATTTTATAATTTCTGATTTCATTTTAAATTTCGTTAACATTCTAATATTTTTTGTGTTTGTCATTTATTTATATTTAAGTGTCTATACAGTTTTGAATAATTTCAAGATTTAGCTATTTTAGTGCATCAAGTTAAACTAAATAAAAATGGCAAACGTCGCTTTGGTAACTAGCTGAAATAAAATATGTTTAAGGTTTTTATATTTTAAAGTTTACTTTAATTCAATTAATGAAAATATATTTTTGTTTTAGATTGAGATAACTATAACCCTGATGCATTATGAAGAGGAGAAAAAAAAACATGGGCAAATTCACTAAATCATTATGTCACGTTCATGCTGGTATTTCTGTGCAAAAACCTGTTTTATTCACAAACCATCTGCAAACCAGGTGTTATCTGTGCTGGTATATCACTGCCTCATGTGCATTTAACTTCATCTGCATCTTAGCTTCACGGCACCTTTTTGTGCAAGTTTGTCCAGTTGCAGATTGTGTTTTCTTAACAATAAACGTTATACAAACTGAAATTTGTTTAAAAGTTAAAAGTTTTTTTCCATCATGGCATCAGTAGTAATATAGTATATACAAAACTCGTTATTTAAAGAGACGATTCATGTGACTGGATGGCAGTGGAGGAGTGATGCTGAACGATATATCAGACTGTATGAGTCTGCTGTATTCTTCACAAGTAAGCATTCAGAATTGACCCCCAAGATTTGTGCTGTGCAAATAACATTTTGAACAAATACATAATAACAGGTTTGCACAGTAATTTGATTTGGATAAATACTTTAGCGAATCAGGTGCTAAAATTATGCAGGTAGCGAATGCAAATCAGTGTTAATTTTGACAGCAAATTTTGATTTAGCTTTAGTCATAGTATTTTGACTAAAATGCCATTTAGTTTTAGTCATATTTTAGTCATCTGAATTGTTTTTAGTTTTAGTCGACTAAATCTAGTAATTTTAGTCGGCTAAAACCTAATGGGTTTAGATACAGTGTAATGCATTTATTAAGCATTTCTCCAAAATTTCCAAACTCATTATATAGGTTTGATATTAAGGTTTTACCATGATAGAGGTTTTATCATTTAATTGCGGTGACACACATGCCTTTATGTTAAAATTAAATAAAACCACTTCTCATAAAGAAGAATGAAATTTTAATGAAATACCATGTTTATATAGGCTATATACCAATATTATATAGGCTAATTATACATTCTTTATAGCAACTTGTTTACCATATTCTTCATTCTTTCAAGCAGACATTTATTTCTATAAATAAATTTAGATTAATCTTTAGGGCTACTAAAGTTTTTTCAGTCAAGAGCAGTGAGTGATTTTCTGTCTTTCTTTTGTTGTTTGATTAACATCAATGACTCGGACAATAGCAACTAAATCAGGCTGCTATCCCTTTAAAACCAAATGCACGGATAGAACAAGAACATGGTCTTCTTTTTAATGAAATACCAATGGTTATATAGGCTAATTATGCATTCTTTATAGCGACTTGTTTCCCATATTCTTCATTCTTTCAAGCAGACATTTATTTCTATAAATAAATTTAGATTAATCTTTAGGGCTACTAAAGTTTTTTCAGTCAAGAGCAGTGAGTGATTTTCTGTCTTTCTTTTGTTGTTTGATTAACATCAATGACTCGGACAATAGCAACTAAATCAGGCTGCTATCCCTTTAAAACCAAATGCACGGATGCAATGGATGCAATATACTGATACACGTTTTCCCTACTGTTTATGTTCACTTAAGACGTAATCAACTGTGTTATCTTGAATACTGGTCAAAACGCACAATTCGACATCATTTTGTGTGCAATTCTCCATTCATGCGACGCGAAAGAGTACTTGCGCGCTGCGAGACGCGCTTTCTGTGTGTGTATGCTTCAGTGTCTGCGCTCAGAAAACTGGACCGAATTGAGTTCTCTCTTGCGTCGTCAGATTTATTTATGTGTCTGCTCTTCTCTTAATCGCCACATATTGACATTTTTGAACGTTTTATGC